TGGAACTCCTGGGCTCAAGTGATCAGCCTCCCCATTAGCAGGGACCACCATGCCTGACTAAGTTTTTTTTAAAGTTTTTGTAGAGACAGGGTCTTTCTATGTTACCCAGGCTGGTCTCAAACTCCTGGGCTCAAGCAATCCTCCTGCCTTGGCCTCCCAAAGTCTTGGGATTACAGGTGTCAGCCACTGCACTCAGCCTCAGGTGTTTGGTTTTAATAAGAGCCCAGATAGTAAACTTTTCAAAAGGGGTATACCGGCTCACTGTGCTAGGGAGGCAGTAAATCCAAAACCCCAAGGGCCCCCTTTGGGTACAATCTGCTTCCCTTTGCCAGAGGTTCCAATTAGCACAATTATCAGTCACAGAGACTTACATAACTTAAAGGGGTCCTTAGGCCTGCAGGCCCCCAAAGGTAGAGAGTGGGCCACAGCTTGCCAGACAGCTCCAATGCAGCCTGTGGGTCTGGGCCCCACTCAAAGCGTGCTGGTTTGCAGGTTAGCCAGTATAAAGGACCAGGTAGGATGCCCACATGAGGCATATGCTGTCTCCAATACCCAGAGTCCAAGAAGGTGCAGGGCCTCCTCTTTTGGTGTTGGTGGAGGGCTGGAAGGGTCAGGAGGAGAGGGCAGCTTTTCCTTGACTGTTGGAAGAATTAAGAATGGTGTGTCTGCCCACATAATCCCAAGAAACTGAATTTTGTCAGGGATTATCCATCACCACTGCTGGTGGAGGTGTGGTAACACTATGGTCAGGGGCTCTGAGGCAGAGACTTTTTGACTTGCCATCCCACAGGGCATCACATGTGTGGCGAAAGTTCTGGACATCAGAGGGCAGAGGGACCCACCCACTGGGGCAAATGCAGGAGAGTTTCTCCCATTAGCACTTCCTGACTGGAAGAATCCCCTCTGTCACTTCAGGGCTGGAAGGACAGGTATCAATTCCTATTGTGCGTTCAGATATAAACACAACAAAAACAATGCATTGAATTGGACCAAAGAGCCCCAGGCACTTAATTTTTCCTCCCGCCCCACCACTGTGAAACTTGCCCAAACCCCATCAGTTGAACTTGGAAACTCCCATTTCCCCGAGACCAGGGAGGATGACTTAGGCACCCATATCCAACAGAGCCATAACAGTTTGAGTCCCTCCTGGCTCCAAAGTTCCCCAGCATGACTTACACAGGTGCACGTGGACTTTGGTCCCCCTTGAAGATGGGGAGACGTCAGCCCCATCCTTAACCATTTCTCTCTTAAGCAGCTGAGGTCAGGGTACGGCAGGATCGAGGAACTATCAAGTGCCATCAGTTCCAATGGGAAGACATGAAGCTGGCCACGCCCCTGCCTGAGGAGGGTTGGCAACAACCAGGGCACCGTCAAGCAGCTATCTTTGAACCTACGTCCTGGCACTTGGCCTGCAACCTCCTCCCCAATTCTTCATTAACAGGTACTTAGGTGAAGGGCCATAAATTGCCCGTTACCACACAGTCAACAAGTTTGTTACCAGTTTCCACGGACTTCCTATTCATTGGCCTTCAAGGCTCCAGTTCTTTTTCCAGAAAGCCATGTCTCAGGCAGCATCTCATCTTTGTCACCAAAACTATCAAGGATGATGAAGGGTCTTACAAGTTAGCCTGCCACAGTTTCATGGATGCTGAAAGAAAACACAACACTCCTGGGTCAGAGACAAAGGACAGTTTATTATAGCAATAGCAGTAGCCAGAGGGCCAGCATTTTCTTTCATTGATTCTCCAAGCCTCAATTTCAAAGGAGGCCAGGGGACACCTGTACTTGTAAAAGGCTGTTACAGGCCAGGCACGGTAGCTCACACCTGTAATCCCAGCATTCTGGGAGGCCAAGGCTAGAGGATCTCTTGAGCTCAGGAGTTTGAGACCAGCCTGAGCAAGAGCAAGACCCCCATCTCTACTAAAACTAGAAAAATTAGCTGGGTATGGTGGTGTGCACACCTGTAGTCCCAGCTACTTGGGAGGCTGAGGCAAGAGGATGGCTTGAGCCCAGGAGTTTGAGGTTGCAGTGAGCTATGATGATGTCGCTGCACTCTACTCAGGGTGACAGAGGGAGACTCTATCTCAACAAAAAAAAAAAATGCTGTTACAAGAGGGAAACCCTGAGTTTAAAGAACCTGAATCTGAGTGAGGCTGAGCATGGTGGCGTGTACCTGTAGTCCCAGCTATTTGGGAGGCTGAGACAGAAGGATCACTTGAGCCCAGGAGTTCGAGGTTACAGTGAGCTATTTTTGTGCCATTGCTCTCTAGCCTGGGCAACAGTCAGACCCTGTCTCAAAAAAAAAAAAAAAAACCTGAATCTTTTCTAATGGGCAGTACATCTGTCTGTCTTTTGCTTCAAAGGGAGACTCTATCACTGTCTTCCAAGGGTATTTGCCATACAAACATCCTTGAAAAGATAGTTCAGAACAAAGATAGTCAGTACCTCTGGTGTGGTGACTCACACCTGTGATCCCAGCGCTTTGAGAGCTGAAGGTGGGAGGATACTTGAGGCCAGGAGTTCAAGACCAGCCTGGGCAACATAATGAGACCCTGACTCTATGAAAAATAGAGAAATTAGCCAGGACTACAGTGTGCCCGTAGTCCCAGCTACTCAGGAGGCTGAGGTGGGAGGACTATTTGAGCCTATTAGTTCAAGGCTGCAGTGAGCCAAGATCATGCCATTGCACTCCAGCCTGGGTGACAGAGGAGACCCTGCCTCTAAAAAGTAAATAAATACAAATTTTTAAAAAGAGCCTAGCACTTCCCCCACCTTGCTTCCTCTCTCACCATGTGATCTCTGCACACATGGCCTCCCCTTTCCCTTCCGCCATGAGTGTAAACAGCCTGAGGCCCTCACCAGATAGTTACCCAATCTTGACCTTTCCAGCCATCAGAATTGTCAGCTGAATAAAACCTTTTTCTTTATAAATTACCCAGCCTCAGGTATTCCTTTATAGCAACATAGAACAGACTAAGAGAGGGGAGAATCTATGGGAGGGGCCACTTATTTTGGCCTGTGGAGTTTCAGCCTCCATTTCCTGGCATTGAGGTTTTTCCCAAACACTAAGTCCATGCTGGTCCCATAACTTGGCCCCTAGACCAGCAACTCAGTGGATGACGTCTCAGTATTTTCCTGGTTTCCTCATTCTGTTCTGAAGGTGGAGGGTAGGGGCAAGTCCGCCATGTGCATCCCTGGATGCTGGGGCTGGGGTAGGTCAGACAGGCGCAAACCAGCAGGAAAGTGGAAGGATCTGCCCTCTCCCAGCTATCAGGCCATGTGCCAGCCTTCTATCTGAGCCAGGCCCCAGGGACCAGCAACAGCCCAGTCTCTGGCTCTAGAACTCGGAGTTCACTTCCTGGCTCTTCTGGCATTGGCTCATCTTCACGGGGTCACTGGCATTGTTTCTGACCATGGCCTGTCCGTGGGTTGGGAAAACAGCAATGACAGGCTTGGGTCTCACTCTGTCTTTAGCGCATTGAGCGGTGACCTTGAGTAGTTGTTGCCCCTTTCGGGGCCCTGGTCTCCCCCTTTGACAAGACCAGTGGTTACCAAGTGTCAACATATTTCACAGAATACCAGTGTTACATAAAAGCAAACTGTGGCCAAGTAATGATGGGCTGCAGGATTAAACGGAGCCTTTTCTGCACATCCTAAATCTCCTGGAGGGGACTGTAGCATGCAGGGTGTACCAGGCTGGCTTGAGCAGAGCACCCCGTTGTGTAGAACTTCTCACCATTGGTGCTGTAAGGGGCTTGGCTTGGGATGTGCTAGACAAGATGGTCTGCAGGTATATTCCTAGCTTTGTCTGAGACTTAATAAATGGAACCACCCATTGGCTGCCATGGTAGGCAGCCTCTAAGAGGACCTCCAGGGAGCTTGCCTCCTGGTGTTCATGCCCTGAATAATCCCTAGCATGTGTGGACTTTCTGACTCGCTTCTAATAAATAGAATTCCACAGACACGATAGGACATCATTTCCAATTAGCTTATAGAAAGACTGTGGCTTCCATCTTGGGCACTCTCTGGTACATGCCCTCTTGCTCTCTCAGGTCACCAGCTGCCATGTCATGAGGACACTCAGGCAGCCTGTGGCCAGCAGCCCTGGAGGCAGATGCTCCAGTCCCAGTCTAGCCCTGAGGTGGCTGAAACCTCATGAGAGACCCTGAGCCAGAGGCACCAGCTCAGCTGCACCCAGATTCCTGACCCACAGACACTGCGAGATAATAAACGTTTGTTGTTTTAAACTGCTAAGTTTTGGGGTAATTTGCCACGCAGCAATAGATAATGCCTTCTATGGCCACTGTGTCTGATTCTATTTGTAAAGGTGTTATGTGTAATTGTGGCATGCCTGTGTCTCTGTCTGGCATCATGTGTCCAGTGTTCTCTGGTGGCCCCTGGGGTCCAAGGGGGAGTGGGCCTCATGAGCTGGTGTGCAGATAGGTGGACCCACAATGCAGCTGGGCACGGGGGTACCACACCCTACCCCAAAGCAGTGTGGACGATTAGCAGGGTTGCATGACACGTATGCCCTTTCACTGCTGGGTAGTTGGCCCTGGTGTGGCATCTGGGCTCGGATCTCTGCTCTGGCCTGGCCCCTTGGTTTCCAGAGTCTCCCCCACCAGGAGTCCTTGGTCTGTCCCCCACTGTCCTGACCCTGCATGCTCTGGGCGGCCAACTCCACTGGACTCTTCTGTCCCTCCTGCTTCAACACCTCCCTCATTCATCTCCCATAATCGCATTTGGTATAATTTGGTGGAGCTGAGCCCCGAGGCCCTCGTACCCGCATCACCACTTGTCCAGGCCTTGCACAAATGTCGAGGCCTGAGCGGGAGGAACGTGGGCCTGGAAAGCAAAACCTGGGCCCCAGTCCCAGCTAAGCCTGGGTATGGCAAGTCAAGGACCTGGGTTCCCATGTGTTCCTGCTGAGAAGTCAGAAAGGGGACAGGAATTCTGCAGATTAACACAGCTTCGGGAAGGCCAGCCAGGCCCTGCCACAATTTTTGCAATGAGAATAATGTTTATTGAGAATGGCTCATTACAAACAAAATATATTTGTGTATAAAATATCTGCAATGCAAAAGATCCCTTTCGTCCCCCTGTGGCTAGAGTGAACAAAGCCCACTGTCCCTCATGGCTTCTGAGGCTGTGCCGGGCCCCAGCGTGTGGACAGGCTGGGCAGCTGTGGGTGCCACATGTTGTGGGCAAAAGTCCCTGACATCCAGGCTCTCTCCAGTCCCATTTTCGTGACTTGTGCAAGAATGCCATAGCGTGGCCTACACCCTGCCTCCGTGACCCCCCAGGCAGATAGGTCTTGGGAAGAGGCAGCTTTTCATTAATCTTACAGATGACCTCTAACTTGTGGCTTGCCCTGAAAAGCCATCCTCCAGGCCCAAGGACTGAGGTGCTGTGACCCCTCTCCATGGAGGCCACTCTCCACAACAGCGCCCAGCACGTGTGCTCTGCCCCATTCACATCCAGCCACCCTGAAAGCTTCACTTCCTCCCACTGGTTCCCTTCATGCAGCTGTTCTCACCACGGTTTTGCCCGAATGTGTCCTGAGGATGCCCACGCCCCACAGCTGTTCTGTGCGGTACTCCTGGGCTTGGTGCCAGAGCTCCCTGCACCCCGGGCCACCAGCATTAAGGCAATGGAGATGAGGCCAGTCTGAAGTCAACACCAGTCTCTGAAACCCAGGGTGCTGCTCAGCCAGCAGCATCTCCCTCTTGGCCAAAGACTGCGTCTGGTGTTGAGGAGCAACATAGCTGGGTGGTCTGACAGCCCTCGTTATGAGAGCCCACCTCTGCCCCAGCGCCACCCTGGTGGGGGAGGGGTGAGCTGATGGGTGGGGACAACAGCTGCCACCGTGCCACACTTTGGGCGCTGGAAGACCAAGACCCAGAGGTGCAGGGATGGTGTTGCTGTTACTCCTCTGCCAGAGGCAGGCTGTCCCCAGCCCCTTTGGGAATGATCCCTTTCCGTTATCATTTTAGGTGCAGACATGGGTTCAAGACCCAGCTCCACCACTGTGATGGGCAGACTCTCCCCAGACCTGCTACTCAGACCTCCAGCTGGCCGAGCCCCCCTTCCCTTTGAAAAAGAGCTTGGCCCGGCTTACCTGCCGGGTGAAAAGAGGTGTTAGTGGTTCCAAAGTACCTTCACTCTTGCTATTATTGTTTTACTTGAAGGTGATGCTCACCCATCAAAAATGAAAACTCAAATCTCAAAAAAAACAAACACCTCCCCCAACCAAAAGAAAAAGAGGAAGGAAACAGCTGTCTATGCTACATGCTGTCGTGTGATCCCAGGCAGGCGCCCCCTTCTCGGTCAAAACAGGAGAGACCCAGCATTCTGTGCGAAAGGTCCTGGCCTGAGGACCAGGTTGGGTACCAGCTGCAGCTGCCCCTGTCTGTAGCTTCAGAAGCACAGGCCCTAGCACCCAGCCCTGAGGGACGTGGGGCTCCCTGCACCCCCAGGTCAAAAAACGGACCCTGCTGTCAGGACTTAGGCTGGTGTCAGGAGGCCTTCTGGGTGTGGGTGGCTCTCTGGGGCCCAGGCAGCTGTTTATTTCCACAGTGCGCTCTGTGCTACCGGCCACTAGACCCACCAGCGGAGCCCAGGCCCAGCCCACACACCTGAGGGCTCTCCACCCCACACAGCTGGAGGTCCTGGAGGGCTGCGGGGGGGCCTCAGAGTCCCCAGGGGCTGGGGCTCTGCAGGGCAGAGTGGCTGTGAGGTGTGTCTATGCCAGAGGCCCTATAACCAGCCACAGAAACGTGGGCCCACTGGGAGGCGAGAGGACGCAGTGGCATCCACCATGGGGCATAGTAGCGTCTGCAGCACTTCCAGGAGAGGGGCCCTCACCCCTGGGGTCTTGGGGTCAGCTACACTGTCTCTGACCCCCAGATGCTGTTTTGACAACTGGTATCTGTCAAGCGACTTCTCTCCCCAGGCTCAGTCCCAGCATCTATGGGGAGACTAACTTAGGCCTCTCCCTTCGGGCCGGACCCTGGCTATGGGTCCGGCTTGAAGGCAGGAAGGGCACCCTTGGGGCTGGACTTCTCCGGGCCTGGGGTCCTGGGGAAAGGATCCTCTCAGATGCTCTGGGGACGCTTCCAGCACCCAGCAGGTGCTCAGGGTAAGCAGCACAACACACAGCGCTGGCGGATGCAGCAACCTTGCCGCAACCTCCCAGAGTTGCCTGGGGCTTTGCCAGGTAGGCTGAGGCTGCAGCTCCGCATCCCGGCTCCAGCAGCCCTGGGCCTGGACTAGGGCATCCTGAGTGGGCCCAGATGCAGTGGGGGTGGGGTCTGAGGGCCTGGGCACACCAGGCTCCAGCTGTCAGCTGTCCAAGTAGACAAAGAGGATGTCCTCGTCTGTGCCATAGCTGGTTCTGGCCTCCTCAAAGTTACTGATGCTGGTGCTGCACATTCCTGCTAGGGGCAGGGAGGGCAGAGCAGGGTCAGCGGGTAGGGGGAGAAGACCCACCCTGCTGGCACCCAGGGAAGCCGGGTGAGGTCTATGTCCCACCTGCGTGGCCACCCTCTTTGCTCAAGTCCTCTACCCCCCAGAAGCCCTCCTTGCTTATTCTGACCTTCATGAGCTTCCTCTGACCCCTCCCCAGTTTAGCAGCTGGCAAGAGTGGGGCCCAGAGGGAGGAGGAAACGTGCCCTGGGCCACACAGACTGACAGGATAAGTCTGTGTGAGTCAGGGCTGCCCGTCCCGTGCCCTCAGGACAGTGGGCAGGCCTGGCTGGGGCTGGTCACTTTCATTTCTGAGGACGGTGCTGGCTGTCTTGGGAGGGCTGGGGGCAGGGAGGAGGGGTGCTGCAGCCTGTGCAGCGTGAGATGGTGAGGTAGGGACCTGGGCAGTGGTGTGGGGCTGGCCAGGCTGTGGACGAGGCCAGCCTGGCTGCAGGTTTGTGGCTGGTTTGCCTGCATGGCCAGAGCGGTGAGCCCAGGAAGAGCAGGGGCTTTGGAGAAAAGGTCTTGGCCACACCAGGTCGAATGGGAGGGAGTCGTGGGGCCAGGCACCCGGGACAGTGAATGTAGGTGGCCGCCCCCTAACCCTGCCCCCCCAGCACTCACGGTCGGCGTAGGCCGGGTTGTTGTAGAAGATGCAGCCAGTGGCCCGGCTGTAGCCGCGCAGGACGATGAAGTGGCCCTGGTAGTCGGGTGTGCGGCAGAAGCAGCGGTGGCTGCTGGGGGCGAAGCAGCAGTACTTGACAGGGCTGGAGCACAGGTCGCAGTGCAGCACCCCTGAGTTCACCAGCACGATGGCCACATGGCCCTGCGCCAGGTGCGCCTGGATGTCGTGCACGCTCACCGTGCTGTGGGCGGGAGGGGGTCAGTGGGTCCCTGCTTGCACCAGTCCCCTGTGCTACAAACTCGAGGGCCCAGCTCCTCTTCCCTTTACCCTGAGCTCCATGCAGGTGGGAACATACCTGCTGTGTCACTGTGGCCCAGGCTCGGCTTGGTGGTGGATGGGGGGTGGGGGGTGGGGTGGTGGTATCTGAGTGTGCACAAGGACAAGCTGGCCCTGTCAGGCCCTTTATGGGGACAGCTGGAGGTCAGCTCCAGGTGGGCCCGGCAGAGAACCACTGGAGCAGCGCATGGAACCTGACCCCCAGCTTGGTTAGTGGGTTCTTTTTGCCAAGCCCTGTCTCTCCTCTGCCCTAAATCATATGTAGTTTATGTTGAAAACTGTTGGCCCATCTCATCCCCAAAATCTGAGCCAAGCATGGCTTAGCCAGGTTCAAAACCAAACGCTTCTCTAAAAGGGCTATTTTTCTTCTTTTCTAAGGCTCCTTGTGGCAGAAGGGGCTGCCCAGGAAGGGCTGGTCGGCAGTGCTTCCAGGGAAACCCCCAGGTTAGCGGTGACGGCTTCTGGAGCCGTCACTCCCAGTCCGAGGCAGACTCATAGGCGCTGCCTTGCTCTGTGCACTCCAGTAGGCAGCGAATCCAAATAAAAACCCAGAAGGAGCAGAAGGGGCTGGGGGACCCTAAGCCACGGGCTTCCCCATCTTTGCTGGTGAGGGTGCTCACTCATTTGGGCCCTTTCCAGGAGTGGCAGCGTCAGCACCACGTGGCCTGGCCTAGCTTCGGCCACAGCTGAGTCATGTGGCAGTTTGATTTGCTGCCTTGGCCAAGGAAACATGCCATTTTCCCATTTGGTCTTTGAAACAAAATAGCTGGCTGGGTTCCCAATTGTGTGTGAGAGAGCAGGATTTCCCCTGTGGGGAAAGAGCAGGGCTGGACTGCAAGGAAAGCTGCAGGCTTCGTGGAATGGAGTGTGGAAATGCTGGGTTCAGATCAGGGCACAGCCAAGACGTGGGGTGACTGTGGGTGGGTCTTTCCCATCCTCAGTTTTCTCCTCTGAGAAATGGCACCTGTCACAGGCCACTAAGTAAACATTTGCTGCCTTTCCTTTCAGCATGTGCTCATGGGGCCAAAGGGAAAGTAGAGATTCCCTCCCATTTTTCCAAATTACCTATCATGTGGTTACATTATGCTAATGATGAAAATGTAAATCTGTAAAGAAAGAAGAAATCTGAGCAGAGTGATCCAGGGCAGCCTGACCAGGGACTAGGCATGGCAACCTTGAGCATGGCCCCACGGTGAGCCTGGAGAATGCCACCCACGCCTGGGCAACTGCTCCAGGGTCTGCCTGCACCCAGCCTCAGCGTATGATGAGAAGGGAAGCCCTTGTGAGGTCACAGCAGCTCATGGGCAGATGAGGGAGCCAGGCCTCCCTAGGCAGCCCGCACGCTGGCTCCTCCTGCTCCGTCCTGTCAATCGCTGTACCAGCACATTCCTCAGGCCGTCACCCTCTTTAGGGCTCCTGTGTTCTGTCCCATGCTACCTTTCGATGAGCAACCCGAGGGCTGGCCTCAGTCTTGCTCACCTGTCCTACAGCACCTGCTCAGGAGCCACCCTAGGTTGGAGCCTGAGTCATGCAGCCCCACTGATCTCCACTTTATGGACGGGGAAACCAAGGCTCAGGGGGCCAAGTCAGTGTCCACAGCCACCCGGGAGGGAAGCCCCAGTTCTGCCTGATCCCCAAGTCCTAGCCTTTCCCAGACACCGGAAGCCACGGCCTCCCCCACTGCAAGTCTGTGGGTGAGCAGGCAGGTGAGGGAGGGCCAGTAGGGAGAGGGATGGAGCTCACCATTTCTCCACCAGCACCTTGCAGGCCTTGGCTTGTGCAAACAGCTGGTTCACCCGGGTCTCCTCTGTATCAAAGTGCTTCCTATAGAAGGACTGAAGAGAGAAGGGCAGGCTGGAGCGGCCGATGCCCTGGCTGCCCCCGCTGGCCGCCCTCGCCCTATTTGGATGAAGCAAAGAGCGTGCTACAGTGGCGGAGGTGCAGGGGCCAGCACATCAGTATGCCTGGTCAGAGAGCTGTGTCTGTGCAGGACCACACAGAGGCACGAGGAGTGCGCTCAAGAGATGCGTGGGCAGCTGGACAAAGGTCATTTCCCTGGGGAAGGTTAGCCGCCCTCGGGCTAGTATGGCTAGTATGCTACGGTGGGCAGGAGTAGCAAATGAGCAAGGGCGGTGAGGTGAGGCTGTGCCCACCCGGGACAGCTCAGCCACAGCTCGGCTCAGCCGGGCGCACTCCCTGCAACACACTTTGTTGACATGGCTGAAAACACAGTATTTTGGTTTTCTTCCAGAATACCAATTACCCAGCTTAGAGCCAGCTGTCCTGATGAGCAGGAAGCAAATGGGCAAATGAAGGCCAAGTGAGGTCAGAGTGACATGCTCTGAGATCCTGGGCCTGCCTGTGTTGAGGACGGTGGGGAAGGACACAGGAAGGTGGCCTCTGCACACCCTCCGAGGGCTGAGGAAGGCAGAAGGTGGGCGGGCAGGAGCCGGGCCTCAATGCTCAGATCCTCTGTGCAGGTGGGACGTCAAGGTCACCTGCTCTGACTGGCTCACACATCCTCCCTATAGCCCATCTGCCGCTGCTCCGGGTGGCCTATGCCCCTGTATAGCCCCACGCAGAAAGGCACGGAGGCTGGCTGCGCACCTGGTTCTTATAGCCCTTGTCAACGCCCAGGGTCTGGGTACAGAAGCGGTGCCTCACGCCAAAGTGGCGCATCAGGTAGGCCAGGTCGATGGTCCAGATGCTCCTGGTCAGCCGCAGCTCCTGCAGGGCGCTCTCGAACTCACTGTCGTCTAGCTGGCCCAGGTACCTGTGGGCAGACACAGAGGTGGGCTCGCTCTCAAGGGGAAGTTGGCCCGACTGCCCTCCACCCACAGGCACAAGAGCCACTGTCAGAGCCCCAGTCCCCAGAAGGGCTGCCTCCTTCATCGTGAAGCCCCATGTCCTGTCCACGATCTGCCAGGGAACAACCTGAGATTGTCAGGGTCCCAGAGTCGAGGGCCTGGATCTTGCTTCTCATCTCTCATCTCTTGTGGGCTGTGTGACCCTGGGCAAGTCACTGTCCTCTCTGGCCTCATTAGCTTTGTCTCTAAGATGAGGTCCTTGGATCACATCAATGGTTTTCAAAGTTTTAGGCACACAACCCTTTGGCTGACCCCGTCTTGCAGGGAATTCCAAGATGTAGAACAGATGTGGGAACAGCTGATCTGGGGTTCCAGGCAGCCAACTGAAAATTCAGGTGATGGCCACAGTCCCTCCTCGCTCTCACTGTCAAGGTCCCTGTGATATTCATGCAGCCTCAGCTCAATGGTCAGCATCCCAGTCTCCCAGGAGACCAAGGCCAGGAGGGTGGAGGGCCCCCTGTCCCAGTTATGGGGCTGCTCTGTGGGGCAGGCCTGGGTACCTGGGACTTCCTGGGCATCCACAAAGTTCCCAGGCATCACCAGAGTGGAGACCTAGAAGGCCCACTACACCCCTTGCTCACTTTTACAGATGGGACTGGGCCCGGGTGGAAGCTGGGCCTCCTTCAAGCCCCACCGCAGCCAGCTATGTGCACAATGAATCCCACTCAGGTCCCTTCCTGTGTCTCCCCTGAGCCGGAGCAGGTGGTGTGGACAGGGACATCCTGGGCCTCCAGCCCTGGGCCGCGCACTCACCGCAGCACCATCTTGGAGCAGGCCAGGCCACAGTCCCAGTGGTACAGCTGCTGGATGATGGGCACGGGCAGCTGCACAAAGTCCCCTGCACGGAAACAGAGGGAGGTTGCAGAGCTGTGGCACAGAGCCTACCACAGCCACTCCACTGCAGCCCAGCCTGCAGGGCTGTTCAGGAGCCTGGCCACAGCCCTTCCAGCCCACAGCCCACTCTCCTTACAACAGCAGTGATCTCCCCAAGCGTGAGCCGCAGCCAGTCAACCCTACTCAAAATCTTCCAGTGGGCTGGGTCCCACACCTCGTAGGATACCACCTTGGTGGCTGCTGCCTAGCACCCTCCATCTCCTAGCTACCCCTTGCCCTCAGCAGACCACCCTTCAGGCAAAACCTTCACCTGTCATGATCCCTTTGCACATCTGGTCCCTCTGCTTGGAAGCTCCTGGCTTCCCAGGTGCCTGAGCTAACTCCTGCCCATGGACGTCACTTCTCCACGGTGCCACGTCTCTTGGGCCTGGTGTCCCACTATGTGCACTCACAGCCCCCATGCCTCCCACTTGGAGACCTTCTTTTTGGTAGAAGCTCTGAGGAAGCAAGGACAGGGGCTGTTTTGCTTCCTGCTTTCATCCCAGGACTGGCATGTGGGCATCACTTGGCACATACACGTCTCTGAGTTCACGAGTTCCCTGGAGGTTCCCCTGACTCCAAAGACCGTGGGACCATCAGGGTGTGAAGACCACAGCCAGGAGGAGGGGACTGTTGCATAAGCTGTGTGGTATGTGGGATGCTCCTTTGAGCTCTGTCCTCCATCGTCCCCGAGTGACCTCTCAGTCTGCCCTCACCAAGCGATGAGGTGGAGCAGCAAGGGCCCGACCTAGAGTTCCAGTCCCAACTCTGCCACTGGCCGGCTGTGGGCTGGGCAGCTGACTTCCTCTTGCTGGACTGAGTCTGGCCATCCCTAAAGCGGGGGACTTTGGTCTGATTCAGTCATTCAATTGACAAATATTTCCCAAGAGCCTAGCAAGTGCCTGGCATGCGTATTGGAGATACAGCGGTGATACAAAATCCCTGTCCTGGTGGATGCCAAAAACAAACAAACATAAGAGAAAAACAGGGGCCCGTGCTAGGGAAGATGGCGGGGGTGTGCCTGAGAGAGGTGCGAGCCAGGGAGCAGGCAGCAGAGGGGAACAGCACGTGCTGAGGCCCTGAGGTGGGGGCAAGCGGGCCCATGGCATGCAGGACCCTCCTCAGCCATGCTGTGAATCTGGACAAAGGTCAGAGTCTAAAGAACCAGAAGGGACTTCTTTCTGCCTGCCACCACTCATTACTTGCTCATGACACCCATTCAGCACATGAAAACCCAGCCCGTTGTCATTTCCCCATCTCGAGGGTCTCTGGGGCCTCTCCTGGCCTGCATGACCACTCCATGCAGAGCCGCCCAGGGTCCCACCTGCTATGCCGGCCTTGGCTCTCACCAATCCAGGCACCAAGCAGGAGGGCCGCTCTCTAGACCTGGAGTCTGTCCTGGTCTTTCTGACCTGCCGGCCTTTGTCCGCGTCCCAGGTGCCTAGCCTCCTATGTCTGACCTTTCCCAGCCTTCAAGGCTTGGCTCAGATGCCAACACTTCTGGGGCCTTCCATGATCCCAGGCTGGTTATGCCCTTTACCTCATCTGCACTCCTCCCAGCCTGAGTTCATGCTTTGGCTCACAGGATGTGACCCTGGCAAAGAGCTGTCTGTGCCCCCACTGGGCTGCTTATATGTCCACCGGAGGCGGGCACCTATGGCTGCTCCCGGCCTCTTTTCTTCTCCACTCCTTGCCTCCAAGGGCATGCCGCAGGGCCTGTGGAAGGCAGGATGGCACGGGCGGCAGTCACCTGACCTCTCTATGCCTGCTTCTTCCTCTATGAAATGGGCCTCTGTAGATGCCAGCACTCAGGGTGCTGTAAAATGTACTTTGCAAGGCCGGGCGCGGTGGCTCATGCCTGTAATCCCAGCACTCTGCGAGGCCGAGGCGGGTGGATTGTTTGAGCTCAGGAGTTCGAGACCAGCCTGAGCAAGAGCGAGACCCCGTCTCTACTAAAAATAGAAAGAAATTAATCGGACAACTAAAAATATATAGAAAAAATTAGCCGGGCATGGTGGCACATGCCTGTAGTCCCAGCTACTCGGGAGGCTGAGGCAGTAGGATCGCTTGAGCTCAGGAGTTTGAGGTTGCTGTGAGCTAGGCTGACGCCATGGCACTCACTCAAGCCAGGGCAACAGAGTGAGACTTTGTCTCAAAAAAAAAAAAAAAAGTGCTTTGCAGGTGCTGACGTGGACCCTGCTTCCCAGCTGGGGCCCAGTACGCTAAGCCAGGCTGGGCTGAGGCTTCATTCCTTTCCTTCCCCTTACCCCAGGTGCTTCTAAAAGGAAATCAGGCCCTTCACTCAAGGCCATTGCACACTCGTCTTCTACCACTACCATAGATTCAGTCCTACCTGACTTCTGTCCATCCTCTGCCCCCAATTCCACTCCTAGCCCCTCTCCTGTCCCTGCACACAGCAGATGGAGGGATCTCATTCAGTTTCCGACTGCTCTTAGAATAAAGTTCTCACCCCTTACCATGGTCTGCAGGGCCCTGCCCAACCTGGGCCCCTCCAGCTCTATCTTGGCCCTCACCTGTGTTCCAGTTACCCTGTGAGCCCATCAGCCTTTATTCTAGTCCAGGGCCTTTGCACGTGTGGCTCCCTGTCTGGAACTCTCTCCCCCTTGCTGTTCTTAAGGCTGCCCCTTCTTGTCATTTGAGTCTTTCCTGAGCAGTGCTTAGCAAAAGTAGCAATAACAAGGCACTCTGTGTCCTCACTAGTCTGTAAGTTTCCTAAGGGCAGGAACTATGGTTTGAATGTGCCCCTCCAAAGTTCATATTGAAACTTAATCCTCATTAAGGTGGGGGCCTTTCAGGAAGTGATTAAGTCATGAGGGCTCTGCCCTCACGAATGAATTAGTGTCCTATAAAAGGGCTGGAGGAAACCAGCTTAGGCTAATTTTTTTTTTGTCCTTCTCCTCTTTGCCATGTGAAGATACAGCATTCATCTCCTTTCCGCCCCTTCCATCATGTAAGGACACTGAGACAACACTGCACTATCTGCCTTTACCAGACATTGAACCTGCCAGTGCCTTAATCTGGGATTTCTCAGCCTCTAGAATTGTGAAAAATTAAATTTCTATTGTTTATAAATTACCCAGTCTTGAGTATTCTGTTATAGCTGCACAAATGGACTATGACAGCAGGGACCTTGCTAATCTCGTTTACTCTTATTCTCAGTGCCTGGTGTCTGATGCTTAGTAGTAACTCAATAAATATTTGTGGGAAGAGGTGAACTTATTAAGCACTTACTGTGTACTAGGCTCTGGGGACACAAAGGCAACTAAAGACCCAAGCCCTGACCTCTAGGAACTCATATTATACTTTTTTTTTTCCTGTCTTTTACAAAACCAGTGTGATCTAAGGGACTCATTCTAAAATAATTGCCTGCAATGGGCTGAGCAATGGCAGAGCTCTATGCAGGGTGTTGTGCTATCATGGCAATGCCTCCCTGTTCAAGAACCCCCACTGCAGCCACACACTGCCTTTGTTTTTCTCTACTCAGGCTGTTTATTCCCCAGGCTTTGCTCTTGAATATGTCTTAGTCTGGGATGTTGTCTCCCATCTCTGAACGCCCAATACTCTGATCCGTCTCCCTCTCAGGAGAGTCCTTGAGGTGGCGTCTGCTTTCCCCACTAGACGGCCTGAGAATTTTTCAGTGGCAGATGAAGACAGGGTTGCATTTGCCTCCTCCTGGCCCTTAACCCAGAGTAGGCACTCAGACATGCTTGGTGAAGGGAAGGCATTTTTTAAAAGGACCTTATCCCTTGAGATGCCTCGGTCTACTTGTCACTGCAGTGCTCCCCCTCCCTCCATCCCCCAAGGCTACAGCCCTCTGTTTGAGGCTCCCTCCTTACTCTGTGGCTTGGGCTGTGGCACCGATTAGCTGGGCCTTCTTCTGCCAGGCTATGACCTGGTCTGTGCCTTCCCCTGTGCCCAGCAGTAAAATGTCGTGCAGGACAGCTGTCCTCTATGGCCCTCAGTGACTCAGATGCCCCTCCTCTTCTTGCCCTGTGCCCTAGACACCTTAATTCTGAGGCCCCACAGGGCTCAACATACCCACATTGCCATCCCCAGGCTTGGCATGAGCAGGTCGGATCTGGATACGCTCTTGTGGGGAGTGATAAGTGTAGGCAAGCCTTGGCATTTGTCTCGACAACTTTAGCCTTCTGAGCCCAAAGCTGCTGCCAGATGTTGATGCCTGGACAAGGGACTGCCCCACATGAGAGCTATGGTCTACTTGAAAGGCCCTGGCCTGGCTTCAGTTGGGAGCTGTCTCCAGGGAAGGAAGGTAGTCCACTGACCTTGGTTATTTAACCCCTCAGTATGCTCATCTGCAAATGTGCAAAGAGCAGGGGTAACCTTCTTCACTGAGGCATTATGAGGATTGAGGTACTGCATGTAAACAACTTAGCACGGCGCCTGCCCCATGGAAAGCTCCCTACAAATGCCAGGATCAGGAAAGGCAAGTCCCACGTCTAAGATCAGAGTTAGATCATTGAAAGAGTAGGGATGTAAACCCCAGTATAGCATCAGACTCTACTCCAAGCTGCAAACACAAAAGAGAACACTCCCTGGGTGTGATGCCACGGTCCCACTGACACCTTAGGTCCCACATGCTCCTGACCTCTCCCAGGAATTGGCTCCTCATCTTAGAGTTTACTAGCGCTTTCCCTTTCTCATCAATCCTGTGCTTTAAGCAGAGCAGGAATCACGTCTTCCTCCTCCCCTATTTCTTAGACAAGCAAACTAAAGCCCAAAGTACTGGACGCATCTTGGTCTCCGCTCTAAAGGGGCTCAGGCTACCGCGGGGCAGAAGGAACCAGAGGGTGAAGAAGTGGAGCAAGACAAAACGCGGAGTCTGGGTGGCCAGGGGAAGGGGCCCTTCCACTGCTCGGTGCTCTCGGCCAGTTCCGTGACAGTCTCGGCCTCAGTTCCTTCCAGCTCCCCTAAGGCACGGGATCTCCCAAGGCATTTTTCGCTTCTGGGGGAGGTGGCGCCCCTGCCACCTGGACCCTCCCACCATGCAGACTGGGGTCCCAGCCCTGGGAGTATAAGGAAATCCCAGTTGACTGGGGCGGGGTGGGGGGAGCGAGGCGAGAGTCCACCCAAGGTCGCGCAGCTGGACCCAGCCCCGCGCTAGGGCGGGGTCCCCTCATTCCCTGGGTGAGGCTTAGGCCCTCAGACAGGCACTGACCGGGCTCGAGTGGCGGGCCCGCTGCCTCCGCCTCCGTCCTCATGACCCGGGCGGCGCGGGGCGCCCATGGCCCCGGCCCAGAGCGGGCTACAGCGTCAGCTTCGGCTGGGGCTGGGGCTGGAGCGCGGCCGGAGCGCGTAGAGTTCTTCCTTCGCCGCCGCCGCCGCCGCCGCCGCCGCGGTGGGGAGAACGTTAGGAGGCTGCTGGGCCGCCCCAAGCCCCGCCCCGGCCGAGCCAAGGCTCCGACCTAGAGGCCCCGCACCTTCCCCAGACTTCTATTCCTAGTAGCCCTCAGGCTCCGGATTCGAGACCGCCTCGGCCATTCGCAGTCTCGGCTTCTGACGGCCCCGCCCCCTCACCCAATCCTCGCGCCGCCGCGCAGGGCCCCACCCCCGAACTGGTCTCCCGGAAGCCCCGCCCCTTCTCTGAGCCCCGCCCCGAGGCTCCGGCATTTCGCGAACATAGCCTCCACAGAGGCTCTTCCCCTTAGCAAGCCCCGCCTCTGCCAGGCCCCGCACCTTGGCCGGCCTCAGGTGTAAGCCCTGGTCCCGCCCAATGCATCGCCGAGGCTCCATGCACCGTTACTCCAACTCCGTTAGGGACGACCCTGGGCCGGCCCCAGCTCTACTCTATACCTCAGTCTCTTTGTCCGTATGAGATGCCTCGCTTCGCTCAGGGTGCCCCTTACCTGGAGGTGCCGGGATCCAAACGTTCAATTGTGAGGGGAGGTCCTGGCCCTCAGCCTCACCTCCTGCCGCCCCCGATTCGAGGGCTCAGGCCCCAGATCTCCGCCTTACCGTCCAGCCCATCCTTGGTGTGGGGTGCTTGGAAGTGCGAGCCCCCTCTCCAGCCCCCTGCTGGCCCGAAGATCGGTGTTTCCGGCGGCCCCCAGGCCCAGTCATCAGCCTTCTCTTACGGTGCCGGAACTATCCTACTGCAGCCCGCGTTTCCCAGCCGGCTGAATGAGGAGGAAGCACAGGAGAGACCGCGCTTACCACTGAGGAAAGGAAGGGGGCGGGTCCTGCGCGTGGTATTCTGGGAACGTGTTGTATTCTGGGAGCTCAGAGCCCGCCATTCGCTTAGACTCACGCTTTCGCACCGTTTTCCGCCTCACCGAAGAGAAGGAAGAGAAAGCCGGAACCGGTGAGGAGAGGCCGGGGACAGGCGACGGGAAGCCAAGGCACCTGTGGGGACCCAGGGGCTAGAGAAGGGCGCACTGCGTGGAGCTCTGCGGGGCTCGGGGAGGGAAGAGAGCGGGAAGCCTTGGCCACCCCAAACATCAGCGCAGTCCACTAACTCCTGGAAGTGAGTGCTTTAGCTTCTCCACGAAGTACATTCTTCTCACTTTCTGTACCTTTCCAGGTCGGTGTTTTTCAAAGCATCCAGGCTAATAGTCTTTAAATCTTTTCTGGTTGATTATCTCCTTCCCCCATATCCTATCTGAGTCTTCCTTTTCAAAGTTCTTCGCATTTCTGCTTCCGACCCCCTTTCAGGCACTGATCTCTTCTTGCTTTCCACAATGTTGAAGAAATTTTAACAAATTTCCCTGCTTCAAAACTGTTTGTTCGTTCCAATTTGTAATTGCTGCTACTTTTTCATTGGATCATTCCTTACCTATAATTCTGCAGTGATTCCCCGCAGTCTTAAGCATAAAATCCAGACTTCTAAGGCTGAAAGTCAGGGGTCCTCACCAAGGGAGCCTGCCTGACTATTCCAACCTCATGTTCTCCTTTCTCTCTTGAACACATGATATGTTCCAACCTTGAGTCGTTGCTCATCTCAGAATAAAAAATTCACTGCTTGTCTGTTTTAGTTAGGTCAAGTACTTGTCCTGATTGTTTTTCCTTCAAGATAAGCATTTCCAGCATATAGCATGTTGTCACTTTGTGAATACTATGATATTTTCTCATTAGCATTGTTGGTAAAGTACGTGGAGCATCAAAGGGCTGACTTAAAATACAGCCGCCTCTCCTGGGTTTGTCTGGGTCCTTTGGTCTACATCTACACCATCCAGTATGCTAGCCACTAGCTACATGTGGCTGTTGAGCACTTGGAATAGGGTCACACTATGTCACTAGTGTGACAGAGAGACTGGGTTTTTAATTAAGTTTAAATAGCTGCATGTGGACAGTGGCTGCTGTATCGGATAGCTCAGGTCATATCATAGTTCTCAAAATAGAATCATTTACAACTGTATGTTGACAAATATATCGTATATGCGTTCCAACCCCCTCTTCCCCAACATGTGTACAGTATTGACTGATGGTTGTTTTGATGACAATAAAGGGCCATACGGAAATTGGGAGGCACTCTCTTTCATTCCTATTTGCTTCCCCTCTGTTCAGCCCACTGTTCCTCCCCATCCCACATCTTGCATGTGTTTACCAGATAGGGTCCTCTGAGCCAGGAGCTAAGTTTTTCTTATGTAGAAATTGCGACTGTGCATCTTTAGTAAGTTGTATGGAGTGTCAGGCCTTGAGGGAGGCATGGCATGTGCCACATGCCTTCTCAGGCTCTGAAATATGAACTGACTGTTGTCTCTCTCGCTGTAGTACTCTCTTCCTGCCAAGATGTCTATTGGTGTACCGATTAAAGTCCTGCATGAGGCGGAGGGCCACATCGTAACATGTGAGACAAACACCGGCGAGGTATATCGGGGGAAGCTCATTGAAGCTGAGGACAATATGAACTGCCAGGTACCCTGCTTTACACTTGAGACTGGGGGGGAGCATGGGCCTATGTCTTGGAGAACAACAAGATGGTGATTGGAGATCATTTGGAAGTTGTTCTCATTCAACAGTTATTTCCTAAGTCCCTAATTCAGGGCAGGCACTGTTTTAGGCTCTGGGTATGTGGGCATGAACAAGAGACACATAGTGTTGATGCGGAAAAACCATGTGGAGGTTTGGAATATTTAACTTTGCCCTTTATTTTCTCCATTACGCCTTCATTTTCTCCCATATTTTGGGTGCCTATGTGAGAGGAATGATGCTACTTGCTATGGTAGAATCTTTCAGGTTTGAGGCCATTATCATATGCCCCCCCCTGCCCACATGCTTTGCAGTTAGCAGAATCTACTCACATACTGTGTTTGGTTGCCTTTTTTCTTGGAGGAGGAGTTTCATTTGATTGTTGCAACTACCTTGTGAGGTAAGCAGGTTTGGTGATGGTCTTATCATCCATAAAATAGGGAGAATGAGATTACAGGACTCATCAACTGAATATCACTCTGCTGATAAACGATGGAGCAGGGTCCTGACATGGTCTCCTTCTTATGGCACCACTTTGTCTTTTGCATAGTGATGTGGATTTTTACTTTACAAAGTGTATTCACACGCTTTCTTTGTTCTTTAAGCCATTGGTTAAGAACTTGGGTTTTGGAGTCAGAGATTGGGTTTGAATCCTAATTATGTGACCTTAGGGATGTTAGTCACTCAGTTTCCTAAATTGTGAAATGGGGGTGATGTTATTTTGGGTCCTCTGTGATGTAGATGCTGAGATAGGATTAGATGTGTAAGAGATTTATTGGGGTAAATAACAATTAAGGATAAAAAAGCAAGGGAGCAGGAATAGGCAGGAGAGCTTTCACTCCAGGATGCTGGTCTGACTGGTGAAAGGAGGAGCTTCAGACTGCAGCGTAACTCTGAGGAAGTTTCAGCTAGACAGAGATTGCTCATTAGAGGAGTCCAGCGTGGGGCAAAAGTGGCCTGGTTCTAGTACCCCCACTGTGGTCAGTCGTTGGCTGGCATCCTGGGGAGAGAGTGGCCTCAGTGTGAATACTGTGGTGGATCCCACAGGTGGAGGCTGGAGGCTATCAACTGCCTACACTCTTCACAGCCTGTTCTCTCTTGAAGGGAGATCTGAGTAGCGTAGTCCTGAGACTGCCACAGGGATAACACCCATACCCCCCAGGACTCTTACAAAGATCAGATGAGGTATGTGTGTGCAGTAGCTAGCTCAGTGCCTCACGCCTTGTAAGTGTTCAACATATGGTACCTGTTACTGTTTTCCAGATGAGAAAACTGAAAGTCAGAGAGGTAAAGTGCCTTAGTCAGGGTCACACTGCAGGTCAGGTATCCTGACCATCCATTGCTTTGCAGGGTTCCTACGTTTATTTGTGATTTCTCTCTACCCTTGAGAATCTGTCTTTTTTTTTTTTTTTCAGACAGAGTCTCGCTGTGTTGCCTGGAGTAGAGTGCCGTGGCGTCAGCCTAGCTCACAGCAACCTCCAACTTCTGGGCTCAAGCAATCCTTCTGCCTCAGCCTCCCGAGTAGCTGGGACTACAGGCATGAGCCACCATGCCCGGCTAATTTTTTCTATATATTTTTAGCTGCCCAATTAATTTCTTTCTATTTTTGGTAGAGACGGGGTCTTGCTCTTGCTCAGGCTGCTCTTGAACTCCTGAGCTCAAACGATCCGCCCGCCTCGGCCTCCTAGAGTGCTAGGATTACAGGCGTGAGCCACCGCGCCCGGTGAGAATCTGTCTTTTTCCTGCCAGGTTGACCAGCTCAGGCAGTTCCCTGGCATGCGACAAGGCAGACAGCTGGTAATTTGGGTTTATTTCCTCACTGTCAGTGCCATAGAGATGGACGGTGTGGGCTCTCTGAAGGTCCTGTAGTTCCTGGTCTCCAGCAGGAGGACCCAGAGAGGTGCAGCTGGCTTTGCCTTAAAAAGGCCTGGCCTGTAGTATCCTTAGCTTTGTGTGGTGCCACTTTCATAGATCCAGTTCTCTGACTTAAGGCATCCTCATCCATTTTAAGGCATTTCAGTTTGGTGAATAGAATGTAAGAATTGGGGTAGTAAATCTTAATGTGTTTATTCCACTAGCCATGTTTATGTGGACAACTTGCTGAGCTTCCAGGGCCTCTGACATCCCATCTGTAATGTAAAGGTATCTGACCAGATGACCTTAGTGGTCTCTTAGAGATGCAGCTGACAAGATACAAAGTGCACAGACCCTGGCATCAGGTTGCAGCCTGCCACCTAGTGTAACTTGGGTTGAGCTTTGAACCTCCCTCACCCTCCGTTCCCTCCTCTAAATCAGGGATAAAAATAGTGCCTTGGCCTCAGAACCATAGTGTAGAGGAAATGAGTAGATGTGTGGCAAATGCCTGACCAATGGTGGTGGCCAGCCACCTGCCTCCCGGCCTCCATTAGTCTACTAGGGCTACCATAACAAAATTCCACACACTGGGCAGCCTAACAACAGAAATTTATTTGCTCACAGTTCTGAAGA